GGAAGGAAGGAAGGAAGGAAGGAAGGAAGGAAGGAAGGAAGGAAGGAAGGAAGGAAGGAAGGAAGGAAGGAGAAAGGGAGAAAGGAGGGAGAATTCCTTATCTTTTATTATATCCTTAACATGTACACCCATCCTGAAATATATGGGTGACTACCCCTCCAAAAGGACTCGCTCGGTGAATGAGCTAACCGATCAAATATTTGAAGGGGCTTTGAAAGCTGAAGCTCTCAGAGATGAGATTTACTCGCAGATACTGAAGCAGCTGACCGACAACCACGTGAAGTAAGAGGCTTTACCTCCCTTGGCTGGGCTCACTTGCTATAACTCTGAAACTCTTTCTTTGTGGTAAGTGGAACCAGCTTAAGTAGAGCCTGGAGAAGTTGGACTTCCGCACCCAGAATCCTCAGCCAGTTTGGCCAAGCTCTTGGTGAATTATGGGGATTGAAGTCCAACCCCGTCTAGGGAAATAAGGGGGAAGGGAAAGAAAGAGATTTGCTGCAGATGATGTCTGGTTAACGGGTATCAAAATGAGGTGTATTCAAGCAGCTGGCTGACCTTGTTTGGGATTGGAAGCTCAGCAAGGGAATTAGTTAGCAATTGGATGGGAGACCACTAGGAAACCCCAAGGCTGGGAAACTAGAATTGGGAAGTCAGAAATCATCTTGGAAGAAGGCAGTGGCGAACCACATCCATGTTCCAAAGGGAGCACAAGTTTGGTGTAATGGTGAAGATGTTGGACGAGGAGCAGAGGAACCTGGGTACTAGTCCCCATTCAGCCCTGGAGGCTCCCTGGGGGGCTTTGGGCCAATCCCTCCATCTCAGCCCCAGAGCCAGGATGGGGCAGTGGGGAAGGGGCTGGACTAGAGGGTGCCTTTTAGTGCTTAGGGGCAGAAACTGGCTGGGTGACTTTGGGCCAGTTGCTCTGTCTCTCAGTTTATCCCACCTCGCAGGGTTGTTGGGTGGAAAATAGGAGCTGGGAGCCTTCTGTACTCTTCCTCCAGCGGTCAAAACATAAAGACAGGCTATAAATCTAATAAATAAATAAATGCTCTTGCTGAGAAACCGCATGAAATCCCTAGGAGTCTAGCTGGGTTTGAAGGAGTCTTTTAACCTTCTCAGCATATCACAGCGCACCTTATATTATTATATATTAATTCATTCCCCTTAATGTCTATTAAGGTACAGCGAAGAGAAGGGCTGGGAGCTGCTCTGGCTGTGCACGGGCCTCTTTGTGCCAAGTAACGTCCTGCTGCTTCACGTCCAGAGGTTTGTCCAGTCTCGGAAGCATCACCCGCTCGCCCCCGACTGCCTGCAGAGGCTGCAGAAAGCTCTGAGGTTCGTGGCTCGTGACCAAAAGCCCTCCATTTAAGACCCGTTTGGGAAATGGTGCACCGGGGGAAGCCGCTGTCCAGCTGAGAACCTGGAAGGAGCGTGAGGACCTTTGCGCTGAGTCAAGATGCAGCGGGGAGGTTGGGGCTCCATGTGAAGACCCAGCCATGGCGGCTTGTTCCACATGCTGTGGCCCAGCCGGTGGTGGTGAGGCATGGGGTGAACCCATTCGGGATGTGCTTTCACATTCAATAAGCTGCATTCTCTCCAGAGGCCCCCCGAGCGTGGCCTTGCCCTCCAGACGTGTGGACTTCAACTCCCAGAATTCTCAGCAACGGCCATCCTGGTTGGGGAATTCTGGGACTTGAAATTTGCACTTCTGAGAACATAACTGCCACATAATTTGCACAGCTGCCATTCGTGGTAATTGCATTAACTGATTTTTGTTTTTCGTCTTCCTATATATTATTTTTATTTATTTGAATTTATAATATAAATGTGTTTAATAAATAAATATTGTCAGCGGGCCTGAGGACCCCAGGCTGATAGGAGCTGATCAAATGGTTAGTATGAGTGTGTTGTTGCTGCCAGGGACATTGCGGGTGTGTGTGTGTGTGTGTTATTGGTTTATATTATGGGTTTTCATTATGTAAGCTGCCCAGAGTCACCGTGAGTGAGTTGGATGGCCATATAAATTTGTGTAATAAATAAATGAATAAAACATATTAGTACGGAGTCTCTAGAAGTTTAGCAGCGTGCACATGTGCACACATATCATTTTTCCCGAGTGAACGAAAAGATTTAAGCTAGGTCTCCCTTGAGTTGAACTCAACTGATGATTTTGGGGACACGTTCATGTTGTTTCCTTGGCAACAGAATGGAAGTGGTTTGGCCTTGCTCGGGCGCTTCATGGTGGTTTCCGATCCAGGTTCTTAGCAGGACCAACCTGTGTCGCTTTTCAAGGTCAGCCAAGATTAACTAACTGCTGACCCCTCCTTGTCCTAAAAAAGCTAAGAGCTAAAAACCCAAGCTGGGATGATTATTTCATCTGGATTCCATCCGCTTGATATCTTTCTCCTTCCTCTTTTCATGGTGCCTGCAGAAGCGTTGCTGATAAACAGTCACAAACTTTGTCTTTTGTAGGAATGGATCTCGAAAGTACCCACCCCATCTGGTCGAAGTGGAAGCCATTCAGCATAAAACAACTCAGATTTTCCACAAAGTCTATTTCCCGGATGACACCGATGAGGTAAATGCAAAACTCTTGGCCATATCAGTAAGGAATGGCCATCACAGGCCCCTTTGGTGAAGCAAGCAGCAGCAGGACAAGAGCTGGAGATCCAGAATGTCAGGATCCAAGATGATCTTGCTCTTCTTCAGTGAAGGAACCCATAAAGGAATGTCATTGATGGCTCCCAGAAACAGGTTGTGATTAGCATCGTTTTGAATCTCAGCTCTCCTGGCCTTTCCATGCTCCTGTTCTAGAAGAAAAGGCTCCAAGGTTGGGTGCACACCTCACCCTAAGCCCCAGGGAGGTCTGTTTGGCTTTGTCTTAGCATGATGGGCCAACACCCAAGGACCACCTTCTCCAAATGTTCTGCTTGTCATGTGGAAGCACTGTGGGAGAGTCTGCTCAAGGTCATCTGAAGAGGCGAATGGGACCTGGACCAGGAACCAGGCCTTCTTTGTGGTGGCTCCCTCGCTCTTGGCATTCCAGAAGGCCCCAAAGACTCTTTTTAAGCAGGCATTTGATTTAAGCTGATGGTGACCCTCAACCATTTTTAAGTTACACCAGGCTGGTTGAAAGGGTTGGATTTCCATGTTATTTTATTGGGTGGGGGGATTGCAAATCACTCAAAGTTGTTTGATTGGGGAGTGTACAATTCTGCAGATAAATGCATATATAAACACAGCTGCTGTAGCTAAACAGACCGACTTTCACAGCAGTTTCACAGCAGACTTTCACTTTCACTTTCACTTTCACTGACAGAACACTTTCAATGTTCCCTGTGATCGGCGTTCATGTGTCGCATTAACAATAATGTGGTTTATGTGGATTGGCCAATGTGTTCTATGAACCCAGCTAGGTATCTAGGCTGGCCCCAACCAGCCAGATGATTTGAGTTTTATTGAGTAAACTATGTTTAAATCATAGCTTGGCACAAGAGGTGAACTCAGCTTGTATAAAGCCAGGCTGTAAATGCTCATTTTTCTCACCAGGCATTTGAAGTGGAATCGAGCACCAAAGCCAAGGATTTCTGTCAGAGCATTTCCAAACGACTGCTCCTCAAATCATCTGAGGGTTTCAGCCTTTTTATCAAGATATCAGACAAGGTGAGTTTTCAGCTCAGAGCTGCCTGGACTTTATTCAGCATTATATCCTGTACGTATGGAAGCTTCCCCAGACAGGTCCAAAAATTTCCCACGTTACTTATATAGATCTCTCAGCAGGTTAACATCAACTAACCAACCTTGGTTGACCTTAAAAAAGCTCAGCTAAGTTAGAGGTGATCAGTATTGGGATGGGAGACCAAGAGGAGATCCCCAGCTTGTAGGCTAGAGTAGGAAATCTAAAAAACACCCCAGAACAAGGCAGTGACAAGCCAGTTCTGTACTGTTGCCAGGGAAAAAAAAGAAAAAATCCTACATGGATGTGTCCTTGAAGAAGTCAAGTTTAACTCAAAGGAGATTTTATTCAGTTATTTATTCCCCTTGGGCTTATAAACCATTCTAATCAAAGCTGATTCTGAACAGTGTTTCTCCCATCCTTCAAAAACCTGGATAAAACTTACAGTACGTGTTACAATAAAACAGCAGAACCGAATTCATAAAAATAACAATTTATGGGTATATGTATATAGGAGCTGATAGTCCTGGGTTTCTGGTCCATTTGACATCTATTACTGGAGGAAACAGATAGCACCTTCCAGTTCCTGAGATGTCTCAGCTAGGTCATAACGCTAAGTCAACCTGGAGGGCCAGATTTTGTTCAGATTTGGATGGGAGACCACCAGGGGATCCCTGGACTGTGGAATAGCCCCCCCAAAAATCCTAGAAGAAGATAATGGAATCTATTGTGGCCAAGAACACAATATCAGAAGCCACCAACCTCATGTTAAGGGTGTTTTTACCCCTTCAGTGAACATGCTCCAGCCAGCCAGAGCACCCACCACGGGCATTACCCCTTCTTCCTTGGCTCAGGGCAGGGCTCTAGGTGTGATAAATAAAACAATGAGGAGAGACACTCGTTCTACATTTCACTAAATTTGATGGAGGCCATCCTTCCAGTTGGTCACGATCTGCTTAGGCAGGACAGGCTCGGCTCCTTCTCCTGGTAGACGTAAAGTTTGCACAGAGCCTCGGCAAGCCTTAGCTGGTACATCGTCATGAAATGGGCATGCAAGGTGCCCGTTCCTGTGGGTGTCGTTGGCAGTGAGATGGCAGAACTGTGGCTCTTTTCCTTTCCTTTAATGCAGTGTTTCTCAATCTCGGCAACTTTAAGATGTGTGGACTTCAACTCCCAGAATTCCCCAGCCAGCTATG